AATTTTTGTATGACTGAATGCTGTAGTTTTGGAATTAGGCCAACCTAAGGAAAATTCGGCTAGTGCTTCAGATCACACGACAAATCTTCCGCCTTCCCTTCCTGGCGAGCCGCCAAAGCCGCCAAAAATGGGTGATTCCAAGCAAGGTGGTAAAGTCATCAACATTGACCACAGCTTTATTAGTAACGTAAATATTGGCGCAGTACTGAAGTTTGAAACTGGTACATAATAGTTTAGGTAATTAACGTCGGAAATGGAGCTTTGCGTCCACCAGCCGAGTCAAAAAAAAGAAAGAAGTCTAGGAAAGACCGGAAATTATCCAAATTGCATGGAAAAGCGATTCCCCAACTGCCGAATTTACCCCCAAGTGTGGAGAATGTGAAACAATCAGAACTTCTTAATGTTCTTAGAGGTTTAATGCATGGCTTAGAGCTGCTGTTGAAACAAAAAACTTCTGAGCTTGGTGGGGGACCAGAAACGACTACAACTGCTACGCCTGTTTTAGAGGATGTGGAAGAATTTTTGGAAGAATTTCAGCCTTCTGTTGACACTTGGCAGGCTGAAACAGATGAAACTGAAGAACCCGAGGAACCTGAAGAATATTGAGTGCCCAACAGCAAAGTTTTGCTGAAAAAATTGTGTCACATTTGCAAATAAAAGTTGAAGCTATTCTCGCTATCAAGAATCACATTCCACATACATGGTACAACAATATTTTCTAACGTTTGCGAACGCAATGGTTGTAAAATTGAAAATGAAATAACCTTCTGCATGAGAACAAGAAAAATTTATTCCATTGAGCTGAGATGGGTGAAAAGCCTTTACCTTGAAAGAATAGGGGTGTCACTTCGACAGCGATCGCAAGCATTGGAGCCACATTTGAACCAAAAAACCCGCTTATTAGAAGCACATTTTACGAATATAAACTGTTGAAGAAATTGAAGCAAACCCACATTTTTCCCTGTGACAGTGACTCCCCTACGACATAACACAACAGGCTTTCCTAGTTTGTTTCGTACGCAATTGTTGTAAAATTGAGAATTGAAAAACATCTGTTTTCGAAAAAAATTATATTCATTTTTGTATTGTATTGTTTTGTATTGTTGTTTTTTGCATTTGTTCACTCCAGAATTGAATCGGCAAGTCTGGAGGAGTGCCTTGATTATGTAAAGTCATGTCAGGTAAATGACTTACTTCTATGCCTTTGAGAGATACTGCTGCGTAAAGAAAGACACAATAGATTGTTTATCATAACAAAAATGCCACAGAAGACTGCAAGAAAATTATATTCATCGTAGGTAGCATGGACAAAGTAAGTAATGACGAAGCAAAAGGACAGTCATAAATAGTAGATTGTGGGAAAACCGTTAAACAGTTGCAACACATATTTAGAAAGCTATATCAGCTCTATATGATTGTTGTCCAGATATCTGAAAAGTGTATGGCTCAAAAGTTTCAGAAAACTTACCATCTTCCTTACTATTTTTTATTGTTTTCAATTCTTTTTTCTGCCGCACCGCCAGATGGCTTGATCTCTTGCCATACGAGGTTTTCAATTCAGATGATAGCAAGAGTTTTAGATGCAAACTGCAAAAATCATTGCGGCTTGATTGCTTGAGAGTGAACGGCTAAAGGCTGTTGACTTTGAAGCAGTTGAGCCATGAATCATTTTCAGCCATGCCCGGGTGCTCAAGAACAGCGACCTTATAGTCACTTGCTTGAACGGGCCCTGCGTCTTTTAGTTTAGGTGGACTTGACGCGATGGCATGGAATGGATATTCTTCTAACCTAATCTATCTAGTATTCATGGTTCGATTGAAAGTTTCGCTGGGTTTCGGCTGGGTGGTTTTGACAACTAATGGTTGCTACAGTATGGAGCAATCGCCTTCTGCTGTGTTGGGATTGCTTTTTGTCCAGTAAACTTTGATCGGTTCTAGACTAACCCACTGCTGCTTGTTTGTACTAACTACGAGCCTTGTTTGTCTCTATTTCTAATATGTCTGTACTTATCGAAGAACCGATGAAATTAGAGCTGATTTCAGCTGAAATCTTCGGATGCTGGTGTTTCATCATAGTTATACCTTGTCCATACGTTGGGTTGAGTCCGGTCCTTTCTGTTTCTACCTGGGATTAGCTTGTGAGGCTCGATTCAACTCTTGCACTATGCAATCTTTTCTCCGCTATCGGAGTTCTGCTCCTCCCCAGAAACTGGTTGTGCGGGATTTCCATATATACCGCTTTCCCTGTTTTCCAGTTTACTTATACTGAATAGTAAAGAGCGCCTTTCCGGGCAGGCAGGGGGCATGGGACAGACTCCACTGAGTCTTTACTCCATTATTTTCGAGTACTACTTTATACATAGTCTATACAAGCTTAATTCCCTATTTTCTTCTAAACATTTGGTGACTGGACTTGAGCTAACTTATTGGATGTTTTTTGTTTTGTTCCTTGTATTTGTTCCTGATTATGTTCTCGTGTTTTGTTCTGGTTATGGCACGTCCTGTGCGTAATACATAAACATAAACATAAACAGACTAATCCACAATCTGTTTATCCAACACTACGGTAATACCCTCGATACATAGAGCCATGTTCTGGTAACCTTCACTTTGGGCGACATAAAAGAACACAACCTTCACCTAAATAAAATAAAAACAGGACTGATATTCCGGGTTTCGCCCTGGATGTTAAGACCATGATTATATCGGAATGAATGTAGTGAAACAAGTATAGTGGGTGATATCTCGAAACTACCAAATCGAAACCGAAATATTTTTTTTAAGGTTTTTGTGTAATTCCCCCACAATTTAGGGCTTCATTTCTCATTCAACCTCTTTTAAACTACGATTTAGCTCCGGGAGTCCACGAATGCGTTGGAATTCAATAAAAATGAGAAACTGCGCCTAAATCTTGCGCAGAGAGACGCGCACAAAATGCTGGTTTATCTCGTTATGAACTGATTTTCAACATCCCAAAGTTGTCAGTGTTCCTGTTCGTGTCATGAGGATCACAATGATATAAAATGCTGCAGAGTTTCGTTAAGACCCCGCCGAGATCTACGACCAGAGCCAAATATCCCGTCGGCTGCGGTCTTTCTCCTCTACTCGTCTGCGTCTCTGCGCGTTGCGCGCTACCTCGCTATCCCGAACGCGGGGCACGCACGGGGCACTTGGCTCTGGTACCCTTTTCTTCGTTGTTATGAATCCAGTTTCAGCAAACTGTATATCATAATGAAGCTCTTGATCTCTACTTTCACACTGATAACGTCCCAAAACCCCATCTTTGATTTAAACGAGAAATTCGGCAAAAACAGTGTTTTCGAAAATGTTGTTTTTATAGTTCAACATTTACCCTCGGTTTTTTCCTGCATTCGATAGATCTTGATTCTATCTATAGTAGACAACGTCCCAGAGCTTAGTTCCTTGATTGTGACAAAATATTTGATGAAAAGCTTCAAAAAGTGCGTTGTTTACGTTGTTCTATTTCAGTGTTTTTGCAGCGTTATTTCTCCAACTTGGGCGTTTATAGTTCAGAATAATGAGCGCAACAATTCAGACAAGTCCTAGGAAACAGGGATGTCGATGCGGGGTAAAAAAAAGGACGCATTGCAAAATTGGTTTGGCTTTGACGTGTATTTCGACCTAGCAAAATCACAACTTTGCATTTTCGTAACTAGTGCTTTTCTTGTTTATCTTCTTCTTGATAATCACCCTTCTGGAAAAGGTTATCGGCGAAAAATCATAAAGAAGGAATTGACTTTTCCTCGAAAAAATAAAGAAAACAAACCAATTCAAAACTCTCACACTAGGCTAATTAGAGTTGCTGATACTAAATGTGAAGTTTACAACTTATCATAATGTTTCTTTGAAAAGTTGTGCGAGGTAATCAGTAGCGGCCGTTTTTTCAATGTTCCTAAAAAGTGCGGTTACACCGTTTAGAACTTCGCCATATTGTACGTAATTGCGTATCGACCTCAGCGTTCATGAACCCTAATACACAAATTTTCACATTTCTTGAAACTTTTTGAAACGTCAGCTTTTTCACAGGGATACCATAAGCTTGAAGTTCCTGCTGTAGTCCTACAATAATGAAGAGCAATCGGCGATTCGCTCTGTACTGCAAACCTAAGTTGAAGCAAGCTTTAACTAACAGTACCCAAAGCTTTTCGAAAGACTCTATTAAAAGAGAGTTAAAAACAACCAGACAGTAGGCACATCTTTTTCGGACACCCTGTATATTGAAGCAAAAGATTGGTCTGGAACGCAATTATGCTTTGCAAAAATTTAAGCTTATGTATCAGCTTGACAGAAATGGCGCTGCGACCTTTTCACTTTTGTCGGGCCGGACAAATGGTGATTTACATGAAAACAAAAGTAACAAAGAGCAGTCATTAGAGCAACAATGTGAGCAATCGCTTATGATTCTTCTTTGCCGAAAAGAAAGAATCTCGAAAATTCAAAATTGTTCGTCATGAATTGTTGCATGGATAAGTTTTGACTGAATAGCGTGCAAATGCGCGTCATTAGGTCCCTAATTGAAAATATAACATCACTGTATAAAAAGGGGCCACAAGAGACTGCTTTAACCGACATGCTTTCGGCAGCGATATCTTTCCTAGTGGTAGCCTCATCATGGGCTATGGTAAGTCAGTTTTCAACAAAGACCCATTAAGACTGTCTTTGTATGGGATGTTCGCCTGAAAGGTTCGCCTGACTCTGTCTAAGAATTTTTGCTCATTCAATAGATCAAAAGGAAGAATATTATTCGAATCCCTATGGGACTGAGTTTTGTGTTTGTTAAAAAAACGCAAAGGTCATTCGTCCCTGAAACAAACTTTAGAACACTCTGAAGTGGCACTAGTGTAATCTCGAAAGCCTTTTCTTTTGTTGAAATGCAAAAATTATTTCATCACATTCAAGGACTTTTTCCACTCCAAAAGAATGTATGAGAGATACTATGTGGGTATGTTCAATATAACATCCATAGTGGTATAGTTTGGAAGTTACTGGATGAGACGTAAGTCTTGTATATCAAACCTCATCTCAGTAGTTTCTCTGCTGAATATAGATTTATGAAGAAATTACATTTAACCCTAATTTACTACAGAAATTAAATTAGGGATTCATGAACTTTATAGATGAGCCTAATCATTTCTGCCTTTTCTAAACCACTAAGGGTGATCTGATTTGATGTCGAACACACAGTAAGTAGCTCAAAACATGTTTGGCCTCAAAACTTTATCGGACCAACAAGAAGCAATGCTTTCAGAAGACTGATGCAATTTTCTTTAAACTGACTGTGGAAAGTTGATCTTACGCTGTGCTTTCGTTGACCCATATAATCGAATAATTTATCAAAGAGAAAATGAATTTCAGTACATTCCACATGATCCGCCAGAGGAGTACGTTCCAGATCCGCCAGAAGAACCAATACCGATCAATCCTTTCGAACCACTTTTGTTTAGAGGGTTCAATGAAAAGCCGCGCCCCATTGTTCCTGTAATAATACTTTCTTAGTTTGATAAATCACCTAAAAGCTGTATGATAATCTGCATCTTTCTTGGATACGGATTTCAGCTGTCTGCAATATCTGGAGAACATGGACATGCTCCCAATGATGATGAACATTCTGGTGAGTCAAAAGAACTAAATTCACATCGTTTTCCGAATTCTGGTACTTTATAACCTAATGCTGCAGATTTAGAATTGGAATCATGCCCTACAAGAAGAATTTGATTAGTATTCTTTTAGATCAGAATTATATTCCTCAACCGGCGAACATGGATAACTCCAAGCAAAGCGCTCAAGTTATTAACAATTACTACATCTTTGCGAAAGAAATAGCTAAGGTAAGTATCAATACAAGATTGAGTTTTCAAAATGATGCATAACAAATTTAGTTATTCGACGTCAAAAACGGAGCTTTGCCATGGAGTCCACCAGCCAGATTTGCAAAACGAGGAGATTTTGAGACAGACGGGAAGGCTATCAAATTGCCTGAGAGAGTGACTCCCCAAGAACAACCAAATTTACCACTTAATGTGGAGGAATTATTAAAAGACCCTGATTTTATTAGAGCTTTTAACCAGGGCCTAGGGATGCTGTTTGACCAAAAAATTCCTGAGATTGATGGGGGACCAAAAACTACTGGAAATCCTGCGCCTGTTATAGGAGATATGGAAGAATCTTCGAATGGAGCAGCTCAACCTTTCGTTAACAAAACTTCGGAAACGGAAACGGATGGGGAAGATCCGCCTCCTATGGAAGAATCTGCGAGCACACCCCGTAGTATTGGAAACATTTTGACGCCCTCTCAAAATTGAAGTTCAATTCGAAAACTTGTTTTCCTTAATAGGAAAATTGCTGAAAAATTGTGTCACATTTGCGAATAAAAGTTGAAGCTATTCCCGGTATGAAGGATCGTATTCCACATAGTATACAAGTATTTTCCAGCTTGTTTCGCACGCAATGCTGTACTATTGAAAATGAAAAATAATCTTCTGCATGACAACAAGAAATGTTGCATTTTGAGCTGGGATGGGTGAAAACCTCAGACCAAAAAGAGAAAGGGTGGTCAGTTCGACGGCGATCGAAACTATGAGACTCACGTTTAACCAAAAAAAATTTCTGATTTTCAGAAGCACATCCAAGAGAGATGAAATTATTGAGAAGACCAATAGAAGCAATCTGTACCAATATCGAATAAAAAATAAATATGAATATGTTAAATATAAATATAAATATAATACAAATAAATATAATATGTATAAATATAATATATATAAAAAATAAAATAAAAATAAAAAAATATTATAAAATATTAAATATAATAGGTATAAATACGAATATTTTTTTGTAATTGTTTTTTATTTGTCCCCTAAGGTTTGATCATGTTAAGTGATCAGATGACTTCTTATTTCTAGGACTCGGAGAAGGAAGCCAGCACAAGTTGGCGATTAAAATCGAGATGTACATGACTAAGGCTTCCTTAAACTCTGACCCAAAATCCCTTTGTGCGGAGCAACTTTCCGAAAGAAATTATGAGCATTTAAACGTCCATATTTGTCGCTTGAGGTGGCCCAAAATTAACAAAAACCAGAAAAACACCTGAAACTGATATAAAATACTTTATCAAGTATATTAATTGCGAGGAAGGAGGAGAGCCGGTGGAAATCCACATAGGTGTTGTTTTGTAGCTTTTCGCTCATTTTAGGTCACATAATGGTAAACATATTTGAATATATAAATAAATAAATAAATAAATATAAGTCATAAATTTTTTCGGAAAGTTGTTCCGCAGAAGGAAGCAGGTTCGGGATCAGCATTCAGAAACGCGTCTAGTCATATCCATAATTGCTAACTAAGTTAAAATCCTTCCCTGAGAAAGACATTTACAGAAATGAAAGGCCGAATAAATTGTTTATCATAATAAAACGTATTATAACCGTATTAATACCGTACTGTATTAACCGTAACCGTATTGATTCGTAACCGTATCCATAGTCCAGGCGCTTTTGACTCGATCAGGCGATCTTTGTAAAGCCATTGCTCAGACGGCAGCTCATACGATTAACTCGTGGTCGAACAATTTGACTTCAAAATTCAGCCCAGAATGAAGCCCTATGGCGTCCCTGCGTACGGTGGCCTGATTGGTGAGCGCGGAAAGAATACGGTATGGGCGAGAGTTTGAATTTGTATTTGCCGGCAGCGAATGTATCATACAAGTTGCCGTGTGAGCAAAATCATACTGTTGATTGATATCTCCCGATCGCTAATAAAGAAGTCCCGGTAAGCAGATTCAATTTTAACGGATAGCCGCTATCACTGCATACAGCGAGAAGCAGAGATAGCATAATAGTCATAGATAACTTTGTTTGTTTGCGATTTGTCATACCCTCAACAACGTTTCTTTGATAAACACAAAAACATTGTCATTATCGGTGCTTGATCGACGCTTTACAGCCTCCACTCTTGAGCGAGAATGTCAGCATTTCGACTAGATGACGTATTGGTTACCCTAACATCTCGTAAAGCTTCAAAGAGCTGCAAAGCTCCAACAGTTGTGTGAGTAAAGAATCCTCTGTATTTAGAAGAAAAGTTCTTTGAGGCTTTTTGCCTGCAGATGGGGTGTCAATGCAGATTTGTATAAATTGAAGTATATTTGTGGATGCTGGTTAGGACGTAAGCATTGTCCACATTTAAACTCAGAAAATTCATCAATAGGAGACAACTTTAAACTCTCACTACCGTACTCTCTACCGTACCCAGAAATGGTGATTGGTCCGCTCGGTATAATTTGATGATACTGCAATAATGACGTTCTATTTTGTGCATGCTAGTATGCTCGAGAATATCACAACGGTGGTTCTTTGCGGCTCACTAAATAGTTGTAAAAAAATTTGTATCATTAACCATCGGCGGAATGAAATACAAAACGAGAAAGAAAAAGCGGATTTCCAAAACAGTAGAAGTTTTTGGTTGTTTGACCATCAAGTGATTAGCTGAAGAAGATTGTAGATGATAAAAATGGTGGCTGGTAAATGGTAAGCTCTTACTAAAGAAGCGTTTAGTATTTTATGAATGAGAAAGTTTTCGCAGTAATATATTACTCGACAACAGAACGCCATCTATAACAATAAAGGAAATCTAGAACACTGTGGCGCAATTCAAGAGCAACTTAAAGTGTAACATAGCAGCGGGATCATGGAGAGCTGGTCCAGATTCGTCAAGTCCTGAAATACAGTACCGTACCGTACATGTATGGACATGTCCGTACATGTCCATACATTCGCGTCTATTTTTCAAAAAATATGAGCGGTATTGTATTAAAGCACTTCAAATTTCACAAAACACTCATCAACATCAATTAGAGTATACAGCGGTGAGAATATCGAGAATTCATGAGCAGATAATCGTATATTCCACTCTTAAGGATAGATCAAAAGTCTCACAACTCTTGTCAGCTCTTTGAATTTGTCTATATGATCGATAATTTTGGTATGTGCTATTCGACCTAGCAAAACACTATATCAAACCACACGTTTTTTTTTGAAAATCATATATAGTCATCGAAACTCTCTGCCTATCACTTATTTTCTTCCTATTTCGTCTTACATTATAGTTTCAAACGAGGAAATCTATGTATTATATACCCCTCGTTCTCGACATCCACAATTTTCGTGTTCCTCACACCGAAACTTCCGTCTAGCAATCATATTACTAAATTTACTAACACATTTCGTAGTGCCACATAATATACTATGGAGAAAAACGATAATACATATGTAACATAGTGGGTTCTCTTTCTCACAATTTTTTCCGATGAAAGGGCAGGATACTAAGAGCAATGTCAGGTCTTCTGTAACCCGAAATGCGTACTGCATGTCATGCGGCTACTATATTTATTTTTATTCATTTTTTAGCTCTAAAGCGTGCTACTAAAACCATTAAGCAGATTAGACATGAGATTAGACGTACAGCTGAGATATCATTGTTCTAAGACAAACTGAGTGTACAATATAATCATTACTTGGAGACTCATAAAATTAGAACCTGCTCATTTCCAGAGATTCTTTTTCTTGCCTTTTTTGAAGCTAGTAAAACACAATTCTAAAACTTGATAACCAGGAAGGTTTTACAGGGGAGTTGCTAATGGGGGCGTCGTCGGTTGCCGCACATAGTGTGCAGACTCACACATTGAGTTACGAGTGAATCGAGGTTCGTGGCAAAATCGGTCAGACGCCTTGTCGCGGCTCGCGCGATCCAAGCCACTCCTCGAAACAGGAGGCCGGGAGCGCTGGCTATCGCGTTACTTGGCGCGCTATCAAGATCGCGCCAAGACCTCTCCTGCCGGGCGCGTTGCCAAGGTTTAGGGTATATAAGGGCGCGTGGGCTGCGGTCCACGCCTCCTCGATTCGTTCGTTATCGATTTTTTGGTGATATCTACCCGCTGGCAGCGCCTCCAGTAGCTCCCATAGATGATCAACGGTTTCGAGCGGTTGAGCCTTTGATAATCTTCTTGTGCATAGAGACGCGCAGCTAATACTGTAGTCTAACGAGCAGCGGAAAGGATTGCGGGAGTGGAGAGGAATTTTACTGTTCCGAAAGGGCTAAGGACTTGCGGTTGACCCTTCGGAGAACCCGGAACTATTTGTTAGACTTTATCCTCACTAGGCATCGGCGGCACGGGACGAGGCGGCTCGTCCTGTGCATAGTCTTCGTGATCCTGGAGTAGTAGTATAGTAATTTGAGTAGTTTTAGTGGGTTTTAGTAGTTTTAGTGATCTTGTTCGTTTAGTAGTTGTTGTTATTTTGTGTTTTTTAGATAAATGTAATGTAATCTACTCGTGCGTGTGATGTTCGTGTCATACGGGTTAGTGGGGTGTTGGCGTCGAGCAGACGCGCTAGAGTGCGCGCACTAGCGCCGAAGCAGTAGATTCTGGAGCTGGGAGTTGTGTGGCCAGGCGGACGAGCACTAGGCGAGGTGCTGAGCACACCGAGCCGCAACACGGTGCATCGGCCGGGAAGATGCTGAGATGGACCAGTTCTTGACGAGTCATGGTATCCGATGGACCTTCATCACTCCGTATTCACCTTGGAAGGGAGGATTCTATGAAAGACTAGTCGGATCAGTGAAGATCGCGCTGAAGAAGGCGATACGGAACCAAATCCTGGATGTCTGGCTCTTCGAAACACTCCTAATTGAAAAAGCCATCCTGAATACTAGACCGCTCTTTCCAGTGAATTCGGTTAACCCGAATGCGAATGCGGCCATTCGCCGATCGACCTGATATCACCTAAGTTCAAGATAGTGCGACTCAAGGACACTTTACCACGAAGGATCGCGAATTCGACGAGCGATAGCTACCAGGCTTTGAATACGCGCTATAGGATTTTGCAGAATGATCTTGATTGGTTTTGGAATCTCTGGCAGCAAGAATATCTAAGAGCGCGGGCAGATAGAGAGGCTATACGCGCGAAATTCCGTTCTTCTGCAAGATCACCGCGAGTTGGCGAAGTCGTACTTGTGAAACAAGACACGCCGAGATCCAGCTGGCCGTTGGGACATATCCTGGAACTTCACACCTCACCAGACGGCAATATAAGATCAGCCAAAGTCAGAAAAGGCAGAAGAAGAGTAGTCGACCGCGCAGTAAATCATCTATTGCCATTGGAGATAGTCGTGGAAGATCAAGAAGTTTTGGAACGTGGTTGTCGCAGCCGCGCAAAGGCGCAACAACATCATCGTGGAATGTCTAGGATGTGAACACGATGGCAAAGTTTCTTTTATGTAAATAACTTAATTATTTTTCCGAGTTTTTTTT